GTCTCCTTTTTCAAAAGATACTGTGGGGGCACTTTTAATGCTAATGAACTAGCCAGAAACTCTCACTTGAATAAGTGGTCTGCACCCTGATGGCCTTGCACAGATTTCAGAGAAGATAATATGTCACACAGGGTCACAGCTAAGGACGCGGAGAGCATTGTGGGTAAATTTCTGCCATGCGCGCGAGCTCGCTCAATGAGTTACACATGCGGCGATTATTCGATATTTTTCTTTTTCTTCCTCGTTGCTGAAAACATTCTCACTAAACTTTTTTTATTGACTCAACATTTATTTCCGCTTTGCAATGTATATATCAAGTTATACACAAGGTCAATAAATGAAAGATTTATGGCTACAAGAGTGAAAGTTAAATAAGACAATGAAACACTGAAATAAAAGGGGGCAAATACGGAGGCATATTCAGAAGACAAAGTCTTATACAGAAAGGCCTTATTAAGACAACAAAAAAGAACCAGGCAAGGAAGACTAACAACAGATTATGCATATAAAAAGATAATTGCAGTACAATACAGTCAAAACAAAACAAGGACAAAACAAAAACAAAGACGAAACCAATAAACTGAGATGTAACAAAAGTGGAATTACCAAAGACTAGAAACGTTAGGAGAACAAAAGGAAGATTAGAATGATAAAAGAGAAGGCGCTACCTCAGATAATCAGAAACGAGGTGTTTTTGTAGTTGCCCTTGAAGCATCCCACAGATGACTAAAAGAAGAAAAAAAGGAAAGGAAGTAGGTTGTTAATGAATGAACATGCTTATACATGAAAATCCCTGTGTGAAGTTTGTTTGTGTCAGATTAAGTTAATGCGTGAAGAGAAGCAAAGAGAGGTGCTGTATGATCCCAAGGCCGTGAAAGGGTGCATATTCTAATGGCCCGTTTTTAAATAGTAGTAAGTGAATGAAATTTCTTGTTACTTGAACGTGCCCAAGCGATATTGCAATAGTTAAGATACGGCAAAATAAGTGTGTTATAAAGCGAAAAAAATGTGCGAGCTGGGAGAAAGGAACGAAGTTAGGAAAGGACGCCTGTGTTACGGGAAACAATCTTAGACGGATGAAATGTGGTCACTCCGGATAAGCTTATCGTCCACAATGACACACAAGAATTTAGTTGAACGAACATCAGATGGTAAATAGCCAGATTTATTAAAGAAAATGCATTTAGTTTTAATAAAATTCAGAGAGAGTTGACTACACTTGAACCAGGATGAGACTTTGGTGAGTTCATTGTTCAGAGTAGAAACAAGACAGTCAAAACTAGGGTTAGAATAGATAATAGTTGTGTCATCAGGAAACAAAAGGAAAGATAAAAGGGAAGAGGAATAGTGCAAATCATTGACATAAATTTTAAAAAAGTAGTGGTCCAAGTATGGAGCCCAGGGGAGCTTATACGGCTTTAGAGATGAGTTGCAGTCATTAATCTTAATGTACTAGTAGCGATTATCATGATAATCCTCCAACCACTGAAGTGCACACCCCTAACGCCACTGAAGTTCAGTCTGGATAAGAGGATAGAGTGATTAATGGTATTCGTTCATCCAAAATTGATCAAGATAACCAATGATTCGAAATATATCGCGAACAGACCCGTGATCAGTGACACTAAGTGAGAAAATAAACTACCATACTGTGACTATACCAAGGTCATGTTTTATCATGACCCGACACTTTGCTCGTGCCAAAGCATTGCCATTGGCGAACCAAAAAATTTGCCAACAGGAAGTGATAACCTCGTGGTCACAGGTCGTACACAATGTAGCCAATCACAGTGAAAAGCCACCTGCCCTTATCAGCGCCCTGTTTGGGCGCTGAGTGACCGACGAGAGAATGATGTTCAGTGGGTTCATTTTATTTGCACCCACACGATACCACGTTGCGCCACCACTGCGGATCCTTGTGCCCGCGTTCATTGTCTGTTTGTGGATAATTGGTTGTGCGAAGCTCATTTCCTGCCGTCTCACCGTCGAAAGACATCCCAGATGGACTTTTGTTTTGTTTCGTTTTTTGGGGTGGGGGTTGATTGAAAGAAGAAAGCAGCTTCGACTTTGAATCTAGTGGTTCGTTTGCCGAGTTGCTCCATAAAGGGATGGAATTGGAAGTTTGGGAACTTTTCTAAGACAGCCCGATTTTGTTCCCGACCAGGTCATCACTGTTGGAGCAACCAATTCTGAAGATGCGCGTTGGCCATTGTCCAATTGGGGGCCTTGTGTAGATATCTTCGCTCCTGGTGATGAGATCAGAAGTGCTACTTATACAGGACCTGAAGACACCGTGCTTGTAAGCGGAACATCACAGGCATGCCCGCACGTCGCAGGTAACAATGTCGAGCAACTTGAAGTTCAATTACAGCAAAGGCTACCTGGTCCTACATTACAGCTTACATGCCAATCAAAGCACCCACAAAAATGACTCTCACTGGCTTTTGAAGTCATAATTAGCCCTAGTCTGCCGTAGGCTTCTTCCAAATGTCTTGGTTGGAAGCAGTCCGCAGTAACACACATGTCTATGAGAACTGGTCAGGCAGTGTCTTCCCTATGTTATAGTTGTAGTTAGTTATCTTCAACTGTAGCTTTACTCTACCTCTCAAATTCACCAAACCATTTTTGTGTCCTCTTACTTCGAATCCAGGTGCTGCAGCGATCTTATTGGCAGAGGACCCGTCCCTTACTCATGCCAGTGTCAAGGCTAAGATTCTGGCCGCTGGTACCCCCGACGTATTACAGTTCAATTCAAGTAATTCCACGGAAATCCTCGAAGCCACGACAAATCTGATACTCCGTGTTCCTAGAGAGTGGCCGCCACCAGAAGCCGTACAGATCCCAGTACAAAATACTGATATTCAAAGAGAAAAAGTGATGCCTGAGATTGTTGCACAATCTGTTGATTCCAAAGGGCCTTATCAGTAGAATAAAACATGTATGACCACTGTAAAACTGTTAAACAAGCATGAAAAGTTTATGTCATTTATTTTAATTAGAATGATCTGAATGATCCCTGTTCACCACGTCCCAGGTTACATCGTTTAACTGGAGCGAGATCCCTGGCTATAAGGTGTTTCAGGTTTAATGGCTTCTGACTAGCGCCCCCGGAACGAAGATATTGACAAATGGGAAGAGCTGCCAACATAGGGCTGGATAGTTCAGTTGGTAGACTACCGGTACGGTATTCTGGAGGTCACACTAGCTCAAATCCCGCTTCAGTCAATTTCTTTATTCATCTTTGTAATCATTTATAACCACCTAGTTTCCCTATATAGTTCGTTTCATGGTTTATTTTCTTTAGATTTACAAAACCTGCAGCGTCTTTCATAAATTAAGCTGTACTCTATTAGCCCAAATGAACAATCATGTTGCAGTATTATTGTTCAAAACCTTTCACAGTAAAGTTCACGAATACTTGCAACCCATCATCAATTAATTTTTGAGGGCTGCTCTCAGCTGATTGGAGGAGTTGTTATGGGATTGAAGACCCCCTGAGCCACTGACCTATGTCAATACTAGTGAAATGAGATGAACATACTTAACAGAATACCAAAGCTATTTATTATATATAACGGGTTTGCCCTTACCCAACGTATATTAATAAACACTGTATGCTCAGTGCTTTTTATTATGTTATTCAGAGTGTACGAGAAAATATCAAAATAGATTTCATTATTTTCTGGAAGCATGCCCCAGAGATTTCTCAACGTCAGTTCCGAATTAAATTTCAAAGTTTCTGTTAAACTATCTCACAAACCTATTAGTTTACCATCAAAACGTGTGTGATCTTCCACTTAGGTTCTTTGCGTACGGGGAGGGGCCTTTTTATGAGTCGGATTACTCAAGTTAGCAACTTTGATGGCCAGATGTGCTTTTTAGAATGATGAAGTACAACACTACTTCTTTGACTGCATTCATCAGTTTATCGTGTCTGGTAAATGTTCATCCATCGTAGTCTAAACGTACGTTGAACATCGAGAATCCAAGGTTTTATTTGAAACAGTATGTGTCTAAGCCTCAAGTTATGTACGAGCATGTCACCGTTGGGGGGGGGTAGCCCATACAAAGATGGAATAAAAATGGGAATGGAGTGACCATAAATTGCTCGTGCAGTTTTTGCGTATTATGCAAGCCCACACATGCACATGTATAAACTTTCGTCGGTGTAACCTGGATAAACCTTTTCAGGTGGAACGTGTGGAAACTACAAAGCTCTCTTGCGTATGTACAGTGTCTTTGAAATCAGAAGGGGGTAGCCTTTAAAAACTTCCTCATAGGCTTATTCCAGCAGGCAGACTATGGACCTAGTATTAATAGCTAAACTTGGTCCTGTATTATCGCTGCGCCCTGACGGGGGCTTGTCCGTGCCGAAACATATTTAAAGCATATTCATATTTACATATTTATTCATCCAAAAAACTAAGACACAGTAAAAAGTAAAAAAGATAACAGAAGAAAAGAAACTTCTGCAAGATCACCCAAAATAGACAAAGTTTCTGTCGAGGGGCTGTCCAAACTGTTGACTAAAATGAATACGGATGATTAACAGTAGTGCACCTCCAAGAGTTTGCAACGCGTTGGCCAATCACAGTGCGCAAAATCTGTCGACCCTTTCCAAACGTACAATGAGTCGACACCATTGATCTCCGTCTATATATTGGAGATCAATGGTCGACACTGATTTCGCGTATTGTGATTGATCAACGCGTTGCAAACTGTCTGAGGCGCACTATTGTGAATCGCCCGTAACCTCGAGGGTACCGTGGAGTACCTTAAATTCGTGCATATAAATATCCGTGCATCCAACTTTCTCGTCGTGAAACTCTTGAATGAAATGAGGCACTGACGTTTATTTACTCATGATCAATGATCGATAGTCACTTCGACGGTTTTCTTTTTGAAGCTATGTGCGAATTAAAAGCTTTTCCGGGAGAATTCGGGGAAAATGTGAACAGTGCATAAGCCTTACTTACTTTACAGACTAAAACAAAAATGAACCGGTCAGGCCTATACCTGTCTAGAAAATGGATAAATGATCGCTGTTCGTTCACGACCGATGTTGGACGTCCGAAAAGGGGGAACTAATGTCGACATTCGCGAAATATTGAGGGCGTTATCAAAACTGAATATGGAGCCCGAAAAAGTACTGCGCACCTTATATTTTAACATTCCTGTTGGTGACGACAGGCCCGGATTCGGTTTTTTTTTCAGTAATACCCCTAGAAAGAGAAGTTTTGTCCTATTATCCAGATAAATAACTCTCATAATATTAATGCTAAGTATGATTTAATTGAAAGAATAAAAATCCCTGCCTCATTGTAACTTCAAATTAAATTAACAAAAATAAATTAGCAAAAGGAAACAGAAAATGATGAGAAGCCAAGTTATTGCGACTAAAAGTGTTTTTTTTTCTTCAAACTGCATCACTATATCAGAGTAATTAATGCAAAAAATTCCTCTTTCAAGAAATACGGGTAGATTTTTCAGAAGCAGGGCATTACTGATGCCCGAAATGACGTTTGCAATGTACGTTCACAAATTATTGTGATGCACATTGACAGCCGATCCGATCTCGTTTACGACGACAAATTGGTAGATTTAAGGATAAATTTTGGTCAAAGTACTATGTGCGTGAATTATAAAAAAAACCAAAACACACCTCTGCTCTCTCGAAACGCTCTCATTAGCACTTCTGTAACGTTGATGGCGCTATACTGTTCACTTAATCAAAATGGCGGCCCGCTTGAGGATGTGTTCATACACGTCCCTTACTACTGAGACCCATTTGTATAAATTGTAAATTGTAGGCCTGCCTTACAAAAGTTGTAAGCCCCTAGGCCTACTTATCTTCATATGTTATTGTAGAGTATTCCCTCACCAACTTAAATGTATCTCATGTGAATGCGTTATCTGATTAAGGTAGGTGTACTAACAAATGTAATTCCAATGTTTTCACTCAGGTTTTGGTTTTGTGTTATTGTTAACGTTATTTCCTGTAGGCCCCTAATAAGGAAACAAAGTCCACTTTCTCAAACTAACTATAACATTTTGACCTTAAGGAACCATTACTCAATCCTGATAGGCCTAGTTTGGGTAAATTTTGACAATATTTAAGCAAGAAATCTTCAAATTTCTACCCGAGTTTTGCAAAAAACAACCACTCAGTCAAATCACGCCATTTTGTTCTTCATCCGGTTACCCCTACACAGGCTTTTGGGATTTATCAAAACACATCTCCATCCAGGTCAAGGCACCAGACTACATTTGCTTATTTGTCGTTCACAGCTACCTTCAGGGCGGTCTTGTACGCTGCCGTTTTATCCAAACATTTCTCTCAAAAACCAAAGCCCTGTTCTCTTTTCTTTCTGACTTGAAAGAGGACATCACCAACAATTTGATTAGATATTTCGAAAAAGTAGAATTTGTTCCCTTATAATAGGAACAGGGTGCTAAAGGTAATGAACCCCATACTATGGGCCCTAGGCCCCCTAACAGTGCATTAAACACTAAACAGTTACTTAAGTTAGGATGGGTTACTCTGTTATTGCAGTAATTACAACATTTCCCGATCGAAGTAAGGATTGCTAGCTCACCTTCCTCAATTATCCTGTCCTTGTTTAACGCTTTTTAACTTGATTCAGTAAAATTTGTTTGTGGTTCAATTTATTTTCCTCTACGATGGCCTTTAAAGCACTTTGTTTATGATTAAATAAACAGAATGATTTAGGGTTCAGAGAAAAGAAAATAACTTCACCTTGTGATGATATTCCATTTTACCTGTAATTGACACCATTTTTCCAGTGTCCTCAAAGATTCCACGCACCAAGAGAATGAGATGAGAATAATTACTTTGCATCATGCATCACCTCACACTTATTAATCCCGCAAGGAATGACTTCATTGTTTCACCAGAACTGTTTTATTCCAAACTTAAATGCAGCAACAACTTTGACAATAATCTTATTATTTAAATTGGTGTCTACAGAAGGAATAATAAATAGGCTATATGTACATGTAAGTTTATATGTACCCCCAGAACTGTGGGTCCAACGCCCACCCCACTCCCACAAACTGGGAGCACTCGGACTTCGGACCCCACAGTTCTGGGGGTAGGTCTATACGGGTATCGCAAATTTCATTTTCATGGTGGACCCTTTCTTTTATAGATGTCTGAAACAGTTGATAAAAATGTCTGCTTTCTGAGTTCTAATTCGTGAAAGTTATTGCTTAGACCAGAACAATTTCATTCAAAATTTATGTTAGAAATTCTAAATGTACATTGCAAAATTCTTTAAGTTGTATAAGAAAAGCAAAAACAATTGAGACTTTAAAACAGTCCCAAATCCTCCGATCTCAATATGACTTTACATACACCCTAGGGACTTAGGGTTAATGCCAACATAATTATTCACTTTTAATTGCCCCAAAGAGTAAAAGTACAATTGATACAAGTCTATTGTAATGGAAATTGGGGGTGCGCTTTATGCTGGCAAACAGTTTTCCAGCGCTGAAGCCCTTATTATGATTCTTTTGTGGTTAAAATGTGTCTTTAGACACCTTTGACATATGGAAATCCAGCAATGTACATGTATATGTCCAAGGGTAGGGCGATGTTAAAAGAGATATTGAATGGTAGGTAATGACTGACACAGTGAAGGAATTTGCAATTTTCGTAAAAATTAAATCTTTTATTAAAACTAGAACTCACTGGCTACGCAACATTCAAAATTTTGATACCGCGATAATAGAGTTACCATTACCGCAATGATATAGGAACCAAGTATACATGACTTAGGATACATATTGTTTATTCATATTCATTCATAGTCATAGGCCCCTACCATGCCCATGCCGATCAAGTTAATGAGTCCGGCCATGGAGCTACACTCATCTGCAAAAGCTTTGGGCCAGTTTGTTTCACTTGGATCTGGATCATGATCAGTGGTCTGTCATTGGTTCACTGACACCAAAACCCACCTACATTGTAATGGATGGAGCAAACCAGTGATAGGATGAAAGATTGAGATTCAGAACCGAGTGAAACACACTGGCCCAAAGATAATCATAGAATATAGGGCCATGCAAGAACCATGTTTTTGTAGGTGATGGTTGTGCAGTAGGGTTGGACTATGGGATTCCGATTTGGGAATGTGAGATTGTCTAGTAACCGTAAAATGTATGGCCACATGCGAATATACTTCCTACAATCACTGGTAACAATGTTGAAAGAGTTCTTTTTGAGAATGAAGCAACATGGAATGAATGGGGATGGTTGAAAAGTTGTAAGTCCAAACTGAGTACCTGGTTGGTGATGTCGAGAGAGAGTGAATTTTTCCATTGTTACACACAAGAGAAATCCAACAGATCTGGTACATGTACCAGAAGAACCAGAAAGGACAGCCCCACACTATAGTCCCTGACATTCTTAAATTTTTTGGTGGTGTACAGTTCATAACTTGAGAGTCAAGAGGGCATCCTATAATGCATAAACAAAAGTTTGTGCCCAGAAAATGAGCAGTGTCACATACAACAGTACACGACATGCCACCTGTGCATTCCTATTTTTGCTCAAAAGGTTTTTCTATTAATTAATTGAATAAGAAAAATTGTCACGTGTTAAAACTGATGAAAGCCAAGGTATTAATAGTTTTTTCATCCAAATTTTTTTGGTGCAAAATTTCATTCTTGTTTTCAATAATTCAGACACAAACATGTACTTTGTGTTGGAAATATGTTGCAATGCACATTCAGCCTTAATACACATTTACAGGCACAATCCAAAATGACACATTTCAGAAAAGTCTTTTGCCGTGGTAGTGCAACATACACAGGTGTCACAGTTTTTATACAATTGTATTAGAAAACATTCAAATTTCCCCCAAAATCATTCTTTCTTGCCTCCTCAACCTCCTTTTAAGTAGGTTTTCTCCAAAAAATGTTCGAAGTTAGGGGGAAAAATAATTTTTTGATTCATAACTTCTCCCTAGAGGATCATTTTACTACCTTCAAAATACCCCAAAGAGGTCAAAGGTTGGTAACATCCAAAAGCTTGTTTCATTCTTAGTCCCAATCTTGCGAGATGGTTTTACACAAACTGAACTCTGGAGGAAAAATGAAAATATGACATCGCACAAAATCAAAATGGCCGGGTGTATGTACAGCACTTGTATCATGATTATTTAGACCTTACATTCCGTACCACATACGTAGGATACTGGTGACAGCGTATTTGAAATAGATGTGGCAATTTTTGGATAGACTGTAGACAGGAGTGAGTTTGAATCTTGTTTCTGTCTTGAGTCTTTGAATCCTTATCCTGCTAATGTATTCAGCTATACAAGGATGGTGCAGGAGTGACGTCACAGGCAAGGTGCATGTGAGAAATAAAGGTGAAGAACAGGTGCCGAACAAATATTGCAGATGAAGACAATGACAAAAAAATTCAGGGTGCGGATGAAAAACTTTGTGAACCTACAGGTGGCTTTATCCGTCAGATGACTTGTAGCATGACTTCCTGGAAACTAGTTTTGGAAAGTGGCAGCACAGCAGTTTCTGGGAGCTGGTTCCACATTCGAATGGATCATGGGTGGCAGGAATATTTGTATGAGTCTATAAATGCATCTAGTACACTGAACTTCAGCTGATGGTCATATCTTATATTCTCTTGTCCTGCCACACTTAAATTATTCCGTTGTCACCTGGGGTGACAATGAATTAATCACAAGCATTGTATCGTAATTTGTAAACTGTGTGTTAATTACTGTTAGCCTTGTATGTGGTTATATTGTTCAGTCCCTCTGTAAAATTGTTCTTAGTCTGTAAAAAGGTTTTGGGAACAAAAGCATTTTGCTTCACTGAATATCTAACATTCCTTAATCACCTTCACATGTCATATGAACTTCATTAGGGTAAAATCTGTTTATGTTAATGTAGACCCTAATGTTGTCAATATCCTTTTTCTTAAACTTGTATTGAGGTGACCAAGTACATGACGTTGAAATAAGTGTTCAGAAGTAAAAAAAAGTCAAATTTTCCTGTCATGCGGTCACGCTGTCATCATTGGATGCCATCAGCCGATCTGTGTAACGGCTTGATCTTTGTGTGATCAGTTGACCTTACTAGATTTGTGGATAATTATGCCATCAGCCGATTGGTTTTCTTTCCAATTCATGGCTGCAGAAGATGTTTCAAAACAGGCATGACAGGGATGTGATGTGATAATGCCCACTGTGTGAAAACGCAGTTTAATCCATTTCTTGGTCAAGTGTCTATGTGCACTCTGGCATACAGAACTCACTATGCACGTGCGCCAAGTCCATACAAGAAGATTCTTCTCTGGACTACTTGCTCAAGGAATATTCCATTCAGTGGATAGGGATATTCAGAAAAACGAAAGTGAAATTCCTCAACAAAATCCATGGAAATCGTATATTGACTTCTTTGGACTCTCCGACTAAAAGGGGATTTGCATGTATGAATGGGAATAAGTACATGTATGTGCTTGGTTGTCTTCAACTAACATTTAAGGCTGGCTCAGGAGAATGAACCCTGATAATGCCTTCACCTGCAGCTCGGGAGTAGTTGTGTCCATGCTCCTTAATTAAACGCACATTTAAGACTGGCTAAGCATGTACTTTTTCCCTTATTATACTGTAGTACATGTACACTCGACATATGTTAATAATTTCAGTCAGTAGTTGATTTTTGTGTCTTTGTTTTACTATGTTTTCATTGACATGATCTCATTTTGTTTTAACAAGGCATTACATATACATGGCATAGTTGTCATGTCTCTCATGTGACAAGATGGAGTCACAAGCAATTGAAGATCAACCCTGTGTTATTCTGGAAGACGATGAAGACACCCACAACCTTAGTCCCAAGTCAGAGCCTCGCAGTCCATTGTCAGCTAAAATGGATCATCGTAATCAGCCTAATGCTAGTGAAATAGTGGACGAACAGTCGGTGACTGGCCAGGATGAGCCACTTCGATATCAGTGTACGGAGTGTGACTTCCATTCGACCAGCTCTCATCAGTTGGAAAAACATATCAGAACACACACGGGTACGTGGATATCAATGCAAAGTATTGGCCCTTCATGTGAAAGTCCAGCAAGTTGTGTCCAAAATTACTGCAAAAAGTACAATTTAAGCAACACTCACAAAAAAATATACCCAGTCAAACTTTCAGCATGTTGTTGTGTTATGCTGGTGTATATTAAATACGTGTAGTTTGTTCTTTGGTGTAAAGCGATTTTTGACATTTTATTTTGTTTCATTCATTAAAATGCATCAAAAACAGAGAAAAGCCCACGGATTGCCCCAAAGTGAAATCACTATACTAAGAACTGTCGTCACAAACAAAAGCCAAGACAATACATTACAAATAAAAAAGACCATGAGACATTCTAATACATGCAATAATCATAATGATAGTTATCAACATGATATTTTAGGGTTAACTTCTTAAATGTTCTGGTAGTGATTTGCTTAAATGGCAGTCCTTAAAACTCTAAAATTCATAGACCTTCAGTTGCTGTAATTCTGTTGCTTAATCTTCTAGTGATCTGTGATTTATTTCATAATAGATCATTTCATTTCATCCTCAGGTGAGCGTCCATATTCCTGCACTATTTGTGGTTTTGCGTTCTCCCAGAAAGGCAACCTAACCCGTCACTTCCGCACCCACTCCGATGAGCGTCCTTTCCAGTGCCCTGTCTGCCATTACAGCGCACGCAGAAAGGACGCCCTCATTGCTCACCTGGATACGCATCGTCAGGAACGTCTCAATGTTTGCCCCTACTGCAATACAGCCTACAAACAGAAGGCATCACTGAAGTACCATCTGAAGAGGTGTGGCTATCAGAAAATGGGCGGACCCCTCAATCAGGTAGATGGTCACGGGTCATCATCCACATCAGATCCTTTTTCATTGTATGAAGGTATGAGATTTATTCAGTCAGAACAACTTTGTATGAAATAACAACTAACATGAGATTTTAGATCTCCACATTGGACGTACAGTCAGTGAAGTGTCTTTTGTGGCATCCAAAATCCATGGAAAGTGTTTTGGAATTAAACTTTTAATGACATGAAGTATACTTTGTTAGTATATTTTGTCAGTTCCGTCTACAGAGTCAAATATTTGGTGCTCATTTTCTGTTTTGATAGGAGTTCGATTAGAACATGGTGGGGGACCATCTTTCTCTGATAATCTGAGATCTCCATCAGATGTTGAAGTGGAACTTGCCGAGTGTGATCACGGAAAAAGAATTAAATTCAGTCATGGTGAGAATACACAAAGTGTTAATTTCCTTAAATTGTCTATTTCACTACAATTTCAGAATGTCAGTATTGAGTACATGTACATGTATGCCATATAATCAGATTGCTAGAAACATCCAACGTAAATTGAACACAGGCACAATTTGTAAGTGTGGTTTTCTTTGGAATGTTTTAATCTGTATGTAAATGCTGTATGTCTTGTAGATGAGGAGTCATCTCGAGATTCAAGCCAAGACAGGAACAGTGGTTTAACAGACACAGCTAGCAATGAGGTATTTCCCATTCTTTCCTTTGGAAGCACTGAATCCTTTCAACATTGGACCTATCCTTGTAGCATCAGTACCACTCTCATGTGAGTGTTCAACTGCAGGTGTATTTGAATTTTAGGATTTAAGTCACAACACACCCTACTGGTTGAATGCCCCTGTCCTTCCTGCATACCTGCCAACCTGTCGTACTCCTTCCTGAGGTCAGGCATCCCCACATAATAGATTAGAATTTGAAATGAACTGATGGCTCATTTAAATACCTTTTAATCTGTTGTGTGGTATAGCCTGACCTCAGGAAGGAGTACGACAGGTTGGCAGGCCTGCACCTGCGGTCACGTTTGGTGCTAAAGTGGTAATGGACATCAGTTCTGGTCATCAGAATAGTAGAATCTATCAATGGCTGACAACAGTGGATTAGACCACCATTGTTGAAGATTGTTGTCATACATAAATAGAACATGTAATAGTCTGATGTTATATGTCATTACAGTCTTATATTTTCAACTTAGTGAGGAAACTTTTTTCCCATATGTAGGACTTGGAAAAAGCTCTATCTAACGTCATGCAGATGTATGGTTCAGAGATGTGCTTGACAAACCGTGCCAGTACGAGCCTTGAAGGAAACATTCATGTGACACCTACAATAACTGCAGTCTACTCACAAGCACCTATGGATGCAGAACGAGAGACAGAAAACCCCCAACTTCCCTCCAAGAATCAGCCTCCTGCAAGGAACCAGATGTCACCTTCAACAAATAAACACAGCGACCACTCATCAGCTCTAAGGTACAGAGGCACCATTGATTTGAACAAAACGAGGGATTTCTTGAACAAAAGTTCCTTGGTTTCTCACGGTAAGACTGGAGCCATGCAAGGGGTGGCAGTCCAAGATGGTCTTGATGGCGGTAGTGAGACAAGCGAGTCAAATGACAGTTTGAGTCACCATGACGAGCCAGTCGCTTCCTCGAGCCACGGACACTTGCGTCAGAAGCCACACAGTTCCACTCGCCCCAGCAAAATCCAAGACAAGGCCGACTCTACCGAAACAGTCAACGTAAAATCGCCAGCTTATGATTCTCAACAGCACAGAAATCCAAGAAGAGCTGTCGCTGACGAGTCAGGGGAACAACTCTGCAGAAATTGCAAACGGGAGCTCTCAGGTGCCGACAACTTCAAATGTGAACACTGTGAGATCATATTCCTTGATCATGTCATGTATACCATTCACATGGGTTGTCATGGTTTTCGTGATCCATTTGAGTGCAATATCTGTGGGCATCAGTGTAAAGATCGATACGAGTTTGCTTCACATCTTGCAAGAGGCAAACATTTGTAGGCTAAACATATTTTATAGCATATACGTATGTTTTGAAAGCAACTCTATTTACATTTTTTTTCATTTCCTTTTTTCTGTGAACCCAGAGTTTTGAAGGTGTGCCATTTTTAGATTTATGTTGAAATTTGTTCACTCCCACTCATGGCTTCAGAGCATTTCTCTTTTGTGGTTCCAATTCTCAAACACTGCAGAAAGAACAGAGCTCCCAGAATGGTGTCAAAGAGTATGATAAAATCATCTTTGTGTTGGCTTTTTTTTAGTGCTTATAATTTATTTATTTTGAGGTATTCACTATGATTTATAAAAAGCATGAATATGAAATATGTTAGCTGATACAATTGGTAATATGCGGAAGCAAACTGCAGAACATTTTTCAGAATTTTGCATGAAAAGTAAATTTTATGGGTAAAGTGGAAAGTATTGAAGTTGAACATGTATGGATACCAAGAATGACCTGGTAGAAACATCTAGGTCGCTTCCTACATGTATGACATAATGGCTCAGCAGTATTTGACAGGCTAAAAAAGCCCTTTCACGTGATATTGTTGCTATAAGTGACCAGAATACAAGAGCATTTCTTTAATGAGACTTGTTTGTTGTCAGGGTTGATTTCACTGCAGTATTAGAAAGGTACTAGTAAAAACATGGGTACCTGTACTGATAAAATATTTTCGGGGGGGGGGGTCAAAGCACTCAGCAGCAACCTGACAAGCCATCAGTAGGGAAATGGGCCGATTCTGAATTAAAGAATTTCTTCGTAAATTGGAATTCACGTTCATACATGTAACTTGCATCCCAAATTGGAAGTGAAGAAATAACAATACCTAGTCCCTTGTACTGCATGTGTGCTCATCCATGGCTTAATAATTCCCTTGTTTGTGACTCGTGTGGGCTCAACAAACAGGAATTTCTCATTTTTTTCAAGTACATGTATCGCACACTGGGAAAAAGTCAAAATCAGATCAGACGAGCGATGCTGTGCGGTGGTACTGTATTTTTCTCTGTTACTTTCAAAATAAATCATTCTACCACTTGTTTTGCCCCCCCCCATAATTTTGTCACCAATAACATGCATAAGATTGTGAAGGTAAGATTAAGGCATGGCCTTTCAAGCAAATAAAACATAATTTTCAAATAAGCTTTCACAATGATTTTTGAGTGGCGAATGAAATGTACAAGGCTGGCTGACAAGCACTGCATTACTGAGACAATGACTATCATTTGGATCACGTGAGGGCGCACTACTTTAAATATTTACTTGGCGATGTTTCTGCATATAGTACCCTTGGCATACTTACTAGACCAAACTAGTAACGGACCCGTATCGAGAAGTTTATACTCTGGGCGGTTTTTAAGTAACATTTTACCCTTTACCTTTCATATTTTGAGAAGCCTGTCGGTGAATTTGGAGATGTTTTGTTGAGTCATTGTTTTGTAAGTTTGTTGGGAAAGAGTTCCGTATAGCCTGTACTACGGCCAAAACATGTATCCAAAATGGATATGCCCTCATGCTGGGTCCAATGATGAGTGAAAGTAGATCTTCAAACTGGAATCAACGGGTACTATAACAAATCTTCAAGTTTTTCATCAGTAACATTAAGGGGGGTTAAGAACGTCTGTTTTAAATGTAGTTTTCACTCCTCAGTGTAGAGAATTAAGTAGGCCTTTGGCCTATTACTTTCTTTTGCCTGCACCCGCTGGTCATGCTGCTTCAAACCAACTTTAGAGTTGAGGCCGAATATCGAAGGGAGCAACTTTATTAAGGGAACTATTCTATTAAAGAAAACAAAACATTTTATTTTTGGTTACGTGCAGAACATTATATTAAAATCTTTCTTTCCTAAAAGCATGTTGATAAGTGATTCTATTTTTCGTCTGTCTATTGAGTGTGCTGATGGAGTGACTTTGCGTGCCTTTAAGCTTTGAGGAAACGTCACTTTGGCCTGGTCATGCCGTGGCCTTACAGTGATTGTTCTAGCCAGATAGTAAGTAAGAGTAAGTGCGCAGGAACTTTGAGCAAACATGAATGGAAGGGGGTATCGGCCGATTTGGGAAAGGAGTAATACACTTATCTCCCCAGGTCCATTAAAAGTTGGTGTCGGTGCATTTCTGGCGCATGGGCACCGATGAAACTTGAATATTGGTTGTGGTTATGAGATGTGTACCGATCTGATCGCATCCTTGACGAGCAGAGCAAAAACTCTTATACGCCAGCATTTTGCTTGAGTCTGTACCGTACCACTGAGTCCCTACATTCGAAACGCCCACAATTTGGCGGGAATTTCTTCCACGCCCCGGATGATGTCTGGCTTCCAGTCTCGCAATATGGGTGTTTGAATAATTAGTATCCCTTGCACCAGGCTTACCATTGAGGTCATTTGTTGACTGACGTGGGACGAGCAAGCGCAGCCGGCCGAGCCAGATGCCAGACCAGGTGTTCTTTAACTTCAAGGAATCTCCAAAACATTGTTGATTGATCATGCCGACAACGTGTATAGCCGGTGGATGCAGCAAAACGTCGAAGGATGGTGTCAGTCTTCACTCTTTCCCAGCTGATCCTACATACCGGACGATTTGGGAGGACAAAGTCAAGTTAACCAGACCTAATTGGTCCGGTCCAAGCAGTTCCTCAAAACTCTGCAGCGATCACTTCGAACCATCTTGTTTCGAGAGTGGTCTGGAATATCTCTTCGGTATCAGCGTAAAGAAAAGGCTGAAGCCTGAGGCCATACCTACAAAGTTTGCACCTGCAGGCAAAGAAAAAACGAAACCAAGGAACGAACGGCGCAAGCCCAAAGGAGCCTTCCGTAAAAGGAAGAAATTCAGGGTAGGCCCTATGCCATAGCCTAGGGCCCTATTATTTTTATGATCATGGGCCTAGTATTATTATTATTATTATTGAACGTTATTTTTATAGCCTAGGCCTACTCTTGTGGTCCGAGTAACTTGGACTCAACGAAGGCGGTGTGAAGTTAGTTAGGCCTAGGCCTACTTATTACTTATTTCCTTTTTGAAATTTGTTATTCAATGTTGAACAAGTAACAATTGATTCGATATTCAACGTTACTTTTAAGCTTTGGCGACCGCTTAGGATGCACATCCCTAGCCAGAGAAACAATGGAGTGCCAAAGGGACAAAAAACAAACAGCGAAACCTACATTTGAGGGCTTGTTTGACCACAAGAAATGCCATGCCCTGGGCTGCTGGGGTACAAGGAGTCTCACTGATTGATGAGAACAGATTCATTGTAATCTCCAGTCCCAGGCGGCATGCGGGGCATGGGTACTTCTAGCCCCAGACTGGGGGCCAGTCTACTGGACTTCTCCATATCCTAGGCCCCACAGCAGTCCATTCAAAAAAAGGGGACTCAGTGAAAATGCCTTCTATGAAACTCCCTCTGGGTACATGGATCTCTTACCCCATCGATAGCGCCTAGTCTGATGTATTACTTTGGGGGATTTCCAATTTGTAGAAATTCATGAAAATTTGGTTTCGATTTGGGCCATTTGTTAACTACAGCAACTAGGCCTAACTCCTGATCGCTGACCGATGCCACATACAGTCTGGATCTGTTGGGTCTGGGAACCAGACAGCATTAAAGACGGTTATCCTATGTTAAAAAGTCAATTGGTAGAGTCCAAGTTACTCAGACTATCACTGAATAGTTCAACACCCCTAATACCGTCCTGCGAAGGTATCATGTTCACAGTCACTAGGTCAATGTCACAAAAAAATAATCCACTTACATGCAGCCAAGTTTAAGTGTAATTAGAACTCAGCCAAACCAGAAAAAGAGGCATTTTCTTGGCAACCCACGGTACATGTACATATAGCCTTACAGGGTTCGTGCCCAACCCGATGCACTTTTCAAGCCACTCCATGACAATTACAGCTAAATTCATGGCTGAGCATGCTGAGTGTGAGGTGGTGTGTGACTTCTAAGTCAAACATTTTGAATTCCCCAGGCAAACAGGGCTGAGCACTCACACTAAGCCATGAAGCAGTTGTGAAATCAGCTTGAAAGGTACAATGGACAAATGAACATATGTTTGAATGTGGGCATAGAATCTAATAATTCTCCTGTCATGTTTCGACGTAAATTGCAGGTACATGTGCTAACTCATTGCAGCATGTACCAACATGTGAGAGAGGGACTTATCCTCAAAAATTCACATTTTAACAAGAACAAGATCAGAATTGCATATACAAATGTGTTGTGTGTGTTCCAAATAAAGTTTCTTTATTTTTTATTTGTAAATGGCATGTTCTTCATAAGATGGACCAAAATGCAACTCTGGATGTCATTTTTCAAAACTTCTAAAAGAGTGACTTTGATCGTGTAAAATACAAATTAGCACCTTCAGATTTATAAAAATGATTATGTGGGGATAATTAGGCACACTGTGCTCATTTGGTGGACATTTGGTTGGTTACCAGTGCAAATCAAATGGAGTTGAATTCATTTAAAGTTTTACGTCAAAGTGTTTACACAAGAGGACTTGATTTTAAAACTTCTCTCAAGAAGGAGAATTCAGTATATTTTTGACTGATGTATTTTATAGCACCTAAGAAATAACTTTTTAAAAATATAAGCCATGAAAATAGAGCGCAAAATTGACAAAAAAATGATGAGAAAAGTTTGGCTCTCTTCATTCTCTTACTGTTTAAAATCACTCTCACTATACCAGCATATCTGCCAGGTCTTATACCTTTGAACCACCGAAAATTATCTTTAAGTTTGGCTGCATTAGAAATGTATAATGAGTACAATATGTTCGTTGTGAACGTCATATTTGACAGAATTTTGATGACGTTTGAAAAAAAAAATGCATGATGGACAAGAATGCTGAAAATGCTGTCACATGTACAGTAATGCTTGAAATTTCCATGTTCATTTTGCTGCTTATTTTGGAGATATCCCCGCTAAAAATTAAATAAAAATTAACAACTCTGAGCATTAGATTTTATTCATGAATTGTATTTTATGTCTCTTTTTTTTCTGAACGTCATTCAGAATGACCGATTTTCTTTTGAGAAACCTTGGTCCAAAGAGAAAAATCGCAGAGTGTTGCCATTCTGTGCAGGGGCTCATAAATATCGAATGAAAAAGAGGGCACACTATCTGGGTTGATGTCAAAGGTCAAACAGGCCACAATGCAGTGTAACATTTCTCTAACGGCACCGTGAGAGAATGATGGAAGCCGCAAAATCGCCACAATCGGTATTTTGGACTTCAGTTTTCCAAAACGTACTAGAAGCAAATGTGAGAGGTTCAATCGTAACAGAATGATGGTTTGGCAGTGCTTTTTTTTTTAAACTTGTGTTATACATCTATTTGGATTTTACTCGCTATTTTTTTGTGGTCGATTTTTTTTTTACACGTATGACAGAATCAAATGACGTTCATGACTGCCAATTTCAGGACCTGATTAATTGTGAGAGGTATTTTGTGATAATGATTTTAATATGTGTAAATATTATCACCTTACACCACATATAAATCTGTGTAAAATAACTGTTGGGATTATCACTCCTTGGTAAATTTTAGTGGCTAGGATTTCAACAGGTTGTTCACGTCCGTCAAAAATGCTGACGTTCAAGACTTTAATTAATTAACTCCAATTAAGTTGAAAGGTGGACAGGGTCATCATTGTTCCAGATATCAGCCATGACTTCCCTCATTACATCAGACATTGGGAATTAATTCACTGCTGTTCACTTCAGGAAAAATGAACCCCCAAAGTTGAACATTATCAAATGGTCCATACATGTGTATTTTGAGGCCTGCCAAAAACACTCTACCTTTGACAGTTTCCCTATTCACAATGCGCAACTTGATCATGTACTTGTATTAACATTTGATAATACTTGCTGCTTAAAAACACTGGCACCGGAATACGAGACGGTTTAATCCATTTCTACTTTTCAAGAGTCTGTGTGTGCCGCAGCGCGCAGAATTTGCCATGTGCATGCCAAGTCCATGTAACTTATAAGAAGATTCTTTGCACAAGGAGTATACCATACAATGGACGAGAGTGTTCGAGAAATGACAGTAAAAATTTTTGAACAAAATCGTCAGAAATCTGTCATAGATTGACTTCTTTTGACTCTCTGACTAAAAAAGGTACATACATGTAGAAGTATTTATGATTATGAATGGGAATAAATATGTGCTTGGCTGGTCTTAGACTAACGTTTAAGACCGGCTAAGGAGACTGAATGCTGATAATACCCTCACCTGTGGCTTGGGCATTATTCCTACCCCTTCTCCTGAACCTAGAATTAAACACACGTAAGACTGGCCAAGCAAATACATGCATTTATACCCTTATTTTAATCAGCAGATCAGGTTGCGTACGTGCCACATGCACACTTTTTAACTTTGACGTAATTTTGAAAATTACACTTTGATTTTTCATTTGTGTAATATTATCACATAGGAATTGTATTTTGTGTCTCATCAATTTAGATTGTTAGCCAGGTTTTTTAGAATTTCATGTTTGAAATTGAAATTTTGCTTGTAGATTCTAAATGAGGTTCTACCAAAGAAACAACAGATATCAGATGAAAAAACTGGACAAGATGATGGAACAGCATCAGTAAGCAGACGGTGTGAGAGCAGACTGTGTATTGAACAGAAGGCTACACAATCCTTGCCAAGTGTCCATTCTGAAAGTGGTGTCAGTGGACATGATGATGAACATGTTGTGCCAGACGAATGCCTTAGAGGTCTGCCTCGACAATTTGTGCAGCCATCAACATCAGAAGAGTATCAGGACTCCGTAACCAACTACCAGCAACTGCCTAGCAACGAGCTGTCCGTACCACGTTCATCTGCAGTCCCTGTCAAACTGGAGAAAGCCCAGGATAATAGTAGTGTTAAAACCAAGAGCAATGAACAGTCATCCAGTCAGAGCCCAGTACATTCACCAAGTAATACCAAACCTGTGGTTAAAGCACCAATCAATGTTGTATCAAAGAAAGGTTTGTTGAGCACTGCTGCAGAACTATGTACAGCAATCCAACAACAGCAGCCAGGCAGCACAGGTAAAACTGTGTATTTCCTCGTTGATAATGCAGCCCCAACACTTCCCTCCCCGCCTCCTGTCATTTACATACGTGTAGTGAAGCAGAAATTACAGGGTAATGTTGGATCCCAGCAGCAGGTATGTGAACAGAAGCAGCTGGTGTTCCCAGGAAATCCGACAGACTCTATACTTCAATCAAACCCAGGACTTATCAAGACTGGCTCTGTTGGACAGCCTGTACGGGTAAATGTTCAACAAGAGAGTTGTCAAGAGTCCAAGAACGATGTAGGAAATCAGCCGGAAGCACCTGAAGAGAAGCAGGAGACTACCCAAGGAGGTCAAAGTGTTCCTGGGCCAAGATCTGATTTAGGTTGGATCAAAACTGAACCTGGAACTGAGCAAGAGTTGTTGAATATCAAGAGAGAATATGACAGTGGCGTCGGCTTTGATTTCACTTGCTCAAGAGAAGTAGTTCAGAGAGAAATCTGTCTTGATGGAAACAAGGATGAGAATAATGTGGAAGTCGTCGTGAAACAAGAATTATTTGAAAGAGCAGAGAATGAGAACAGTGGTGTTGGTGATCAGAGAGCTGGGGATATAAGTAATACTTGCCCTCAGGAAGGTGACCAGAATTCAGGACGTGATGAAAATGCAGAGATATCTGAAGATGATGAAGATGATGATGATGACCATTTGGAAATGGAAGATGATTCTAGGGACGAGGACTATGTCCCTGAGGTCAAAGTTCACGCATCTAGAAAAAAGGTATTCAAAATTTTAATATTTAGTGTGGGCATGATTCAAGGAAAAATCAACCAATTTTGGGGGGGCAGGGAAGGGAACCTGTGAATGTTTTTATGTACAGTGTACATTAATGTTTTGCAACCTTTGTTAGGTATGAGGCTACATTTTGAGGTTTTTTCATGCTTGTGGAAAGGAATGAAAATTTATCTTTTTCTCACTGTTTTCCAGAAGCTAATTTTTTGCTCCTTTTGTTGGGGGCATGGCCTTCCTTGATACACCCTATCTACCCTTGACAAAATTCAAGGAAGATTGAGAATTAGATATTTTTCAAGATTTTTCAAGGAGTTGAAGAGTTTGTGTTTAGATGTTTTTTAGGGAAGCTACCCCATTTCTTTGATGCTATAAATGAACAATGAAAACATTAATCAGTAGTTACAAATTGTGGCAGGTTTCAAAGAAATCTGACAAACTTGAAACTGACAACATGTACATGTATGTGCCTTTCCTGTTAAAACATGTTGGTCAAAGTACTCTTATGTACTGGTATGCAACAAATTCCAAAGAAATAAACTGAAAAGATAAATAAATGTAGTTGTTGACATGAGTCTATATCTCAGAAAAGCAACATGTTAGCTTTTTCCGAGCAATGAATTGGACATAAACGGGAGTGATTATACAGTAGGCCTACAGGTACATGTGCATGTATCTTGGTAGTAAAATTGCCAGAGATTAGAGAATGTAAGAATCCTAAATCTACTCTTCCAATTGAAACTGTGGTCTGATTGCAGATTCCCTGGAAGGAATTACTATACGTAGAAGATGAGAGGTAGTACATCCAACTGTTGATGTGTCTGACTTTTTGAGTTTTCAATGGCAATTCTCTGCTAATGTTCTGAATTCCTGTGTAGAAATGGGGAGGAAGAGTTTTACGCTGCAGACAAACTGATCAGAAAGCTTCCTCAGAGCTTGAGCAAGGTCAGTCAGATGAGGTAGATGGAGAATCAAAGAGCAGTGATGGCTCAGAGGGAAGTCTGTGTTTGTCATCAGACTCGGGAAGTGACATGATTTCATCTGATGATGACTGGGATGAAAGAGAACGAAGGGAGAGGCGAGTGCAGAAAAAGAAACAGGGGGAAAGGTAAGTTCATGAAACTCAAATTTGGGGCGGGGGTTGTGCCATATTTTATGAATAATGGATGTTTAGGAGTAACTTGGTAAGGATAACACAAGATGATTTAATGAAATGGAATTGAACAATCTCACAGTCACCTCATTTAATTCTTACCATTGCACTCATAAACATTCATTTCTTGTATAACAACCCTGAATAAGTCCCAGCTTTACTTATGAATTTACTTTTCTTGTGACTGGAATGCAATGCTCTATCTACCTTCTTGTACTGTACTTCTATTTCGACATTGCTGCCACGCCTTGTGCTTGGATAACTGAATCAGTGGTGCATGACCGACAACCAGGCCTTGACTTTGAGCTGATTTTTATCAATTAGCCCATCAGTCAAGTTTATTTATTTATTATTCCATTTCTTTACCCTGGGTATGTCCAAACAGTTACAAATTGGTTTCCATTGGGGCCCTGCGACCATTACAAATTAATAAAATTGGTACAAACTCATGATGAAAAGTCAAGTTGACAAATACGACAAACGTTAATATTTACAAATACAGACCACTAAAACACCATACACATGTGAACATTTAAATAAGGCATTAATTAAATACTGAACACGGGATGGGCAAAAACCCCGCAAAAAACCCTATGGGGAAAAAGAACACAGGGAAACTCACGATCTGGCTCTATTGAACATTGGCAACCAAGTTAACAACTCCATAGATCAGCATTTGGGACTTGGAGCGTAGCATTCTTTTTTGGTTAAAGGGACTTTAAGTGCCTTGTTAACTGAGTACCTTGTTTCACAAATCTGTGTGAATGGCATAAGCAGACTTGTCATATACTGTGGCGCCGGTGGGTTTGGCTGGTGGGGGTGCCAGCTCGGAGCTAGCTGGCTGCCCCCACTGGTATGCGAACGGCCTGCGGCTTTCCCGCTTTGCGCCTGCGCAGTCCCCGTCTAGACACCTCGTGACTGGAGCTTTGTGTGTCAGACAGCCCTTTTGCTTTCGTCAAAATAAACACAGCACTTTTGCCTGGAACAGAGATTTGAGCCTGACCGAGTAGTTCTTTGTCAGCGTCAGAGCCCATAGACAGGACACGCTACAACTGGAGGCAGCGGCGAGACGCTGGATACAAGAAAATCAGGTAAATTCTTCGCCTATTCTGTGCCTTGGAGTTGGTGGATGATTTGGATTGGGTACCGAACTCGCTGGACAGCTCACGGGTCCGGTGCTACGGGTGCCGCGAGTATGGGCATTTCTGCCAGGATTGCCCGCGTGGGAGGGGAAGGGCGGCGCCGTCCAGGGCCAGCTGCTGGCAGAGCCAGTCTCGATGGCGTCGCTGGGGCCGGCCCCTGCGCCGCGGCCATTGGCGGCAGAGACAGGGCCAGCGGCCCGACACAGGGAGACGTCGGCGGTGCCGGCGAACCGGGCCAACTACGCCATCGGCAAGCTGGCCGGCAAGAGAGTGTGGGTGCTCCTAGACACGGGGGGGGCGTAAGTCTCATGTCGGCCAGGGTCTACTACGCGCTTGCCGGTGCTGACAAACCCAGATTGCAACCAGCTGGACTGTCTCTGCGGATGGCTGATGGTAGCCCAATGAGAGCGCACAGGGTCGCCGACTTCAAACTGCAGCTGGGGGACCAGTGCACCCTACACACCTACACCGTGGCGGATGTCGAACCCGACGTCACTGTGGGGATAGACTTCATGGCTAATCACCACTGCGAGTGGAGGTGGAGTGACAACTCACTCATGGTTGATGGCAAGCTGGTTCCCCTGGAGGGGCCGAGCTGCAAGCCAGTGGGGGCACGGGTCCAGGTGGCCGAGAGCGTGGTAATCCCTGCCAGGCACAAGGTGATTGTGACCGGGAAAGTCTGCGGGGATCGTGCCCAGGGAGTGGGGATGGTGTACCCCAGCTTGGCGGCCATGGACCACTGCCAGGTGGCCGTCGCGACGGGTCTAGTGGATACCAGTCAGGGGGCAGGGCCTGTGAGAGTATTCTACCCGATGGGGAGTCTATAAGGGGAGTCTTCTTGCCATATTCGCCACCGTGGAAGAAGACACAGTGATCGACCCCAAGGAGAGTTCTCAACAGGTGGTTTCAGAGCCGTGCCCTACAGAAGGTTCCGTTTGGAGCCCCGAGAGCGGTCCGGCGGGCCACGGTTGCCAGGTGGGTTCCTCTCGGAGCCCGGGCGATAGTGTGCCTGCCCACCTGCAGGACCTCCTGGACCTGGGAGCCGCCTACCTGGACAGCGAGGAACGTGCATGGCTGGCGAGCCTACTGGTAGAGTTCCAGGGTACCTTCACCGGGCCGGATGGCAGGCTTGGCCAAACCGACTGGGTCCAGCACCCAATTAACACAGGGACAATGGCAACCTCCTCAGCGGCTTCCGATGCACAAGTGGTTGGAAGCCCAGAGGCAGGTGGACAAGATGCTGGCGGATGGGGTAATTAAACTGTTGCACAGCCCCTGGTCTTCGCCGGTGGTCCTGGTGCAGAAGAAGGACGGGTCTGTGCACTTCTGCGTGGACTACCGGTGGGTCAGTGCAGCCACCCTGAAGGATGCCTACCACATCCCTCGGATGGAGGATAACTTAGACGCACTCGAGGGAGCCAGGTGGTTCAGTACCCTTGACTTGGCCAGCGTGTACTGACAGGTCCGCTTGGCGGAGGATGACTTGGAGAAAACGGCTTTCGGGATGCAGAGCAGCCTCTACCAGTTTACCATAATGCCCTTCAGGATCTTTAACGCTCCGGCCACCTTCGAGTGTCTGATGGAGTGCGTCCTGCGGGGTCTCCAGTGGTAGGTGGCCTTTGTCTACCTGGATGACGTGATAGTTTGGGGGCGGACCTTTGAGGAGCACTACCAGAGGCTGGCCACGGTGCTGGGGCGGTTCTGGACCGCCAGGCTCAAACTGAAACCACAGAAATGTGACTTTTTCAAGACGGAGGTGTCCTTTCTGGGCCACTTGGTGTCAGCGTAGGGGGTGCGGAGGGATCCCGCTAAGGTCGCAGTGATCCGTGGTTGGCCAAGGCCGGCGAACGTGATGCAGGTCCCAAGCTTCCTGGCCCTGGCGTCATATTATCGGCGGTTTATTGCCTACTTTGCCGAGATCGCCCGGCCCCTCCATGCTTTGACAAGAGCCAGAGGGAGTTTGTGAGGACAGATGCCTGCCAGACGGCGTTCGAACACTTGCAAGATGCCCTAGCTACGGTGCTGGTGTTGCAATATCCGGACCCAGGGAGGCACTACATCTTGGATACCGATGCCAGCAACTGCACTATCGGGGCTGTCCTCTCCCAGGAGGGGGAGCACGGAGAGCAGGTAGTGGCTTATGGGAGTCATATGGGAGAAACTATTGCACCACCCGGAAGGAGCTCCTGTCAGTCGTGCACTTCATGCTCTATTTTAAGCTCTACCTGTTGGGGAAGCGCTTCCTGTTGAGGACAGACCACGACTCGCTGCGCTGGCTCTTTCATTTTAAAGAGCCAGAGGGGCAGACAGCCAGATGGCTACAGAGGCTGAGGTGCTACGAGTGCGACACTGAGCGGGGCAGAAACACATCAACGCTGATGCCATCTCTCGGATACCCTGCAGCCAGTGCGGGCGTTCCCAAGAGGTTGACCAAGAATGTTACACGGGGCCGGCCCCTCCGGTGGATTTGGCCCCCCCTCAGAGCTGGCCGCCAGAGGCAGAAGATGAGTCCCTGGCCAACATGGACGGAGAGGAGGATGACTCAATTATGGATGGGTTTCCCCACGTCTGGGACCTGAGCAAGCTAGCTCAGGAGCAGCAGGACGACCTGGAGCTGGGACCAGTCCGCCAGTGGCTGGTGGCGGGGAGCGACCGGCCTGAGTGGGAGGACATCTCCGACCTCGGCGCCGGGGTCAAAAGCTGGTGGTCTAGATGGGACACACTGCGCCTGTTCTGAGGAGTCTTGCAAGTGAAGTGGGCGAGGGCTGACGGGGGACCCCCCACCTGGAAGATCGCCATCCCGCAGGCCAGGGTGCCCCAGGTTCTACTTCTTGCCCACAATCACCGAACTGCTGGACACCTCAGGGTCGCTCGGACCATGGCTGGACTCAGGCAGGCTCCTGTGTATTGGAGGGAGATGAGACAGCAGGCCAAGGAGTGGTGCCAGAAGTGCCATCTCTGCGGTTCTAAAAAGTCCCCTCCGTGTCCCGGGAGAGCTCCGCTCCGACAATAACTGGTGGGGGCCCCATGGATCGCCATTGACCTCACCGGACGCCTGCGCTGAACCAAGGCCGGGAACACCAGCATAATGGTAGTGGCGGACTATTTCACGAAGTGGGTGGAGGCATATCCCCTTCCGGATCAGACGGCCGAGGCCGTGGCCAAGACCCTCGTGGAGCAGGTGATCACACGCTTCAGGACACCCCTCAAGATCCACACAGATCAAGGGCGGAGTTCGAGGCGGGCCTGTTCCGCGGGGTCTGCCGGCTGTTTGGCATCCACAAGACCAGGACGACTCCTTTCCACCCCCAGTCCAACGGCATGGTCAAACGGTTCAATCGAACCGTGAACACCATGCTTAGCTTGTTTGTGGCTGAGAATCAGGATGACTGGGACGAACATCTTCTCTACGTCCTGATGGCCTACAGCTCCTCCCAGCACGATAGCACCAGGCTCACCCTGAACATGCTCATGCTTGGGCGGGAGGTGGGACTTTCCCTGGACGTCGTAGTCGGGTCATTGGATGAGCAGGTGGAGACTACCGAGGCACTAGATTACGCCGACGAGCTGAGAGCGAATCTCACCCAGGCCCACGAGTTTGCCCAGCGACACCTGAGGCGGACTCAGAGCTACCAGAAGCAGCAGTATGACCGTCGCGCCCAGGGGGCCGGGTTCAAGCCCAGTCAGGGTGTTTGGCTGTTCACCCCCAAGAATAAGGTCGGCCGCGCCCCTAAGCTGCAACGGTGGTGGAACGGGCCCTTCGCGGTGCTACAACGCCTTAACAATGTGACCTACAAAGTGCAGTGTACCGCCTGAGTGAAGCCTCAGATCATGCATCACAATCGGCTTAAGCGCTACCTGGGCGACGTGCAGCTAGGATGTTGAGAGCGCGCAGCCCACAGAGCCCTGGCCGAGGAGGCACCCTTGCAGGCAGGGGGGCAAGGAGCCAGCGGATCCAGCCCCTGGTCCTGCCCGCTGGGGCCCTCTCCCCCGTTGAGGAAGGGACCGCACTGGAACCTGTTGACGGGGCAAAATCAGGACACCCGGGCCGGAACGGCAGTGTGTCGAGTGGGGAGAACTCAGACACAAGCAGCCAAGGAGGCAGCGCACCGGCGGAGCCATCACCGTGCGAGCCGGAGGCGGGGGCACGTGCGTGACTCGCAAGGGGCGGCAGGTTCGTCACCCAGTGCAATTCTGCCCCACGCTAACTCCTGAATCTCCCTCTGTTTCTTTCCCCAGGATGGACCGCTTGGCCTGCCCCCACTGTCAGCGAGTATTCCGCCAGCGGACCAACTTGCGGCGACACCTGAAGACGGCTTGTCCGGAGCTGTTCACCGCCCGGCCCTATACCTGTGAGCGGGGGTGTGGCCGCTGCTTCTACCGCTCGGACATGCGGGATCGGCACCACCGACACTGCAACCACGTCCTCGTCGGCCAGGTCTGGGCGGAGGATACTGACATCCTGGAGGTCTTTGCTAGTGACAGGGAGTTGGGGGGTGACGAGTTCCCCATGGAGCAGTCACCTGCCCCTGCCTGTCCTCCGGAGGGAGCCGCCCGGACCCGCCCCCGGTCAGCTGCTGCGGGCAAGCCCTCACCTTCTGGTGCGGCCTTGGGCCTTTGGGCCCCCATGGCGGCCGCCACAGCCGGAACCGCCCCCCTGCGTCACTCAGTAGAGACGGGGACGCAGACCAAAGTGGAGCCCCCAGCCCCGGTTTGGAGCGGGGGCCGCCAGAGTCTACCCCCCGGCTCCTGGGTGACGTATGCGGGGGGGGCCTGCCTGCGACTGGGGGTGCGAGCCACCCTGCAGGAGGAGCGGGCTACCAGAGACGCAGACACCATGATGGACCCGCCCCTCTGTGAGCATCACCACAGCCAGTGGTGGTAGGAGGTGGCCCCCGCTGGCCTAGACCGCCGTGGCCACCGCCAATTCCAGACCCTGGTGGTTCACACTTATGAAGTCCCAGGCCGGATGTTGTACACCTTCGGCGGTGAGCCATATGCGCAGGGGCGACCGGAATGGCTGCAAGCTGGCCTGCTGGGTTGCGCCGCCTCGTTCGGGGACGAACTAGAGTCCTCGGAGGGGTTGGTGTGGCACCGGCGGGTTCGGCCGATGGGGGCACCAGCTCGGACCCACATGGAGCTAGCTGGCTGCCCCCGCTGGTATGCGAACGACCTGCGGCTTTCCCGCCTCGTGCCTGCGCAGTCCCTGTCTTAGACACCTCGTGTCTGGAGCTTTGTGTGTCAGACAGCCCTTTTGCTTTCGTCAAAATAAACAGAGCAGTTTTGCCTGGAACGGAGATTTGTGCCTGACGGAGTAGTTCTTTGTCAGCATCAGAGCCCATAGACAGGACATGCTACAATAAATCCATGTACATGTACGAGCTAATTTGTTTAGACATTTAAAAACAAGAACAGTCTTTTTAGATCTAACTCTCTCGGAAAACGGTACCCAGTTCAGTGTAGCAAACATATTTGCTGAGGGAGTGAGAGAGGTGCATTTGAGTGCAGCTCTTTTTAGACATTTGTTAAGAGTGGTATCGTGGGATATGTATCTTCCTCCCCACACCGTGCAACAGTATTGTAAAGTTGGCATAACTAAGCTAATGAAAAGTGTGTGCAGGCTACTTTGTCCAACATAGTTCCAGATTCTGTTTAACATACCTAATTTAGATGAGACTGTTTTTCTTACGTAATCAACATGTGGGCCCCAACTTAGTGTTTCGTCAATAATAACGTCTGTAATAATATTTGCGGTTTTCTGCCTTGAACCAGTCAACATGCTTTTGGTTTTGTTTGTATTTACCGGTAGTTCAAGTTTGTTTCTTGAAGACCAATGTAGAATTCTGTCAAGAGCTACATTCAGATTCCTGTCTATTTCATTAATACTGGAAGAGCTGCACATTAGAGTGGAGTCATCTATATACATATACAAGTTACAATTTGTTGGGATACAGGATGGCAGATCACTTGTGTAAATAATGAATAAAAGCGGTCCTAATATCGAACCCTGTGGGACACCAACGGTTAGTGGCAGAGCCTTTGATATCTTACCCTCAATATTTATCGACTGACTATGATCGCTTAGGTATGATTTAGTGAAGTAGACATGTTAAACCTTTTCAATTTTTCCAGAAGAATTTCATGGTCAACACGATCAAATGCTTCACTGAGATCTATAAACACACTACCTGTAACTTCTTATAAATTGACTTATTTTTGTTTTAGCTCACAGGAATTGTCACCAGTCCATGGGACCTTTTTTTAGCAAAACTAATCTTGACTGGCTGTTTTAAACTGTATTATTTAATCCGTTACTATGGGTCATGCTGTCAATAGTTAAACTTAAAAGTTGAAGATTTGAAACTTAAAATTAAGAATGAACACACTATCAAAATTCACAATTTTTTCTTCTTTACAAATAAGACAAAATAATGACCGTTAAAACAAGTACCTGGTAGGTATTTCTCTACTAGCTCACCTTGCAAGTTAAAGAAAGCATTACCAGCCCGTAGTAGTATTTAGAAGAATTTGTATGCCATGTATGCTGGTCTCGTGCTAAGGCCGAGGCCTGTCAACAACCCATCAATCAGATGGCAGGGAATAATTCAGGTGTTGTATAATGTTGCTTGTAGATCAAAGGTGTTGATGAGATCTTCTTTTAATCAACTGGACTTACTGAAATAAAAACTATAAATCAGTTGCCCATCAAGATGGTGATTAGTTTAGAGCACTGCATCAGGGATAGAGCTTCATTTTCCATAAACACCAGTACATGTACCAAAGGAGTCATCCCGTCAGTTTTCACAGTTAATGAATGTGGATAAATACGCCTGTCCCCAGGCATGTTTTGTTCATTTGTGATAATGAAAAACAAAGATGACTCCCAACTCTGTAGGTGCTTATTATTTAATTGTATTGATAGTCTAGTTTAATTGAAGAGGGGGTGACTACTGTATTTTCAGAACCATAGCTAATCAAACTGATGGCTTTGGGGGAAGGATGATATCCTTTGCACATTCCCTTCAGCAAAAGGTTGATAAATACCTTTGCTTGTTGTGGCTTTTGGGACAGTTTTTACTGATTTCAGTTACATGTTCCTCAAGTGGGGAATTTGTCACCAAAGTATGTGTTCTTTTTACAGGCACTGCATGTATGTTCGATTAGAAGTCCAATTGTCGCGTCTTCCCAAAGTGTATGAATGCAAGTCGTGCCAAGAGAGGTTCCGAGAGGCAGATGACATGAGGACACATTACACTACGACCCACCATCAAGAAACTTCTGTTGATAGAGTAGTAAGTGGACCTTCAATCTCTCCAGAGGGCGACATATATGACATAGCCACTGAGTTGAGACACTGTTCAAAATGTAACAATTATTTTGAGAACATACAGAAACACCGCAATAGTCATAAGGAGAAGCGGTTTGTCTGTGAAATGTGTGGAAAACGTTTTGCCTACAAGTGTATCTTAACATCACACAAGGAGACCCACAAAGCAAGGGAAAATAGAAATCTTCTCCATTGCACAGAGTGTGACAAGTCATATTACAAAAAATTTCAACTCATGGCACACTGCAGAGAAAAGCATTCCAAGGACACCTCCAACTTGTTTGTCTGTGAAAAGTGTGGGAAGCAATTTAAGGCCTCCAAACGGCTGAACATCCACCGACTCATCCACCTAGAAGACAAGCCGTTCAAGTGTCCAGAATGTGGGAGGGGCTTCTCCCAAAAGAGTAACATGACGTTGCACATGAGGATGCACACAGGTGCACGACCTTATCAGTGTAAGATCTGTCAGGAAACGTTCAATCATAACGTGAGCCTTAAAAACCATCAAAAGAAGGAACATGGCATTGACTGGTGAAAAGACAAGAGTAACAAGAAAGCATCCTGAAAACCTTAAGTTGGTGAACTGTTGAGAATGTTGAATGTACATATGAGACAGAGATACATGCTGTATGGTTTGCCAGGTGAAATTGATGTTGACTTTCAACTCAAAAGAAAAACAGACTATTTATAGATTAACAATGAAATCTGATACATTGTATGTGCATGTTACACTCTTTGATTTTCAGTCGCATTATTTACTAGTGACATTCATGCAAGGGTGAATTGAACCAATTTGGGAGGACAAGAACCTGTGTTTTTTTAGTTTTGCTTCTTTTTTTGTGTGATTCTTGCAAGAGAAGTATTGTATGTACATTATATAAATACATCTACAGTAAAACATGGTTTGGGGGCTAGATGGTTGCTTTATATCCCTGAGGTATTAACTAGATTTTCAACCTCCAATACCAAGGGGATTAACATCAACCATCCACCCCAGAATAAACTCTGATTTTATATTTGTTTGCCATTATATTTTCAGACATTAAAAACGCTTGTCAATATGCACAGGGATCACCTTTCCATCTAACATTTGCGTACTTCACCTAGACCAAAATACCATGGCATCTTCTTAAGTGTATAAAATCTGTGCATAGTAAAGGTTCTACTAGCATATTTGACTTTGCTCACAGATCCTGCTAAGTGCATCAGGTGATCTACAGCCAAAACGGAGACTGGCTCCTGATTGTGCATTGATTTTTGAGAATTCTGCCCTCTATTATAAATGTGTATGAGATATGGTAGTTACCGAAGCCTCCGCTGGACCATAGCACATGGTTGCTCTTCAGGAAAAAAATACATAGAAATAGAAAATAGGGAATTATCAAGCACTCAGGTACCAAGGTACAATAAGTTTAAGAATGTAGGCAAGAATATCTGGAATAAGGTGGAGGATGGTATTGATGGTTGGGAGGGTGCATCTGCATTTCTCATTCCATTTGCTCTGTACTTGTGGGAAAGGTGTGAGCTTAACTTGCAAATTAAATTTATGCCCTTCATTGCGCACTTGTCTATATAGCCAATTGCAAACTAAATTACTTCATATTGCCGTATAAATTTCTTAGAATTTACTTGCTGTTAGTAAATTAAAGTGCCTTTATGCGATTAACCTAAAGAAATTTACAGTTTTTCCACTTTTTTTCCATGTGTTCACATGGGACCCGTGTTTCATAACAGCAAAATTTTTACAGGGGAAGAAATTTTCTTGGGTGTTAAAGGAAATACCATTTTTGCCCCATCAAGTCCACATACTATCACCATAAAACCAAGTAGCAGAATAAGACAGTTGAGGATTTGGAGTTTTTATAAATGTACATGTACCAACTCTTGTGAAGTTGCCAGTCTGTTATCTGACAGTTTTTAGGAACACCCCCCCCCATATTTTGCTCTACCCTCCAGCCAAAAGCAGCAGCAGGTGTTGTTTTAGCCATTTTTTAGTGGAATCTTATATCACAGAAATTTGGAGACAAATTAACCTTCTTGAGATCAAGAAGTAAACACCATGTTGTCCAGTGGGTAGAAATTAAGACTGTAGGATCCAGTATAGTCTGGAAGCCATGGAAGGTAACCCCTAAATCTCCGAACAAGTTTTTTTTTCTGCTGATTGTTCATAATCACTGGGTTGCTTATGAGATCTAAGGTAGTGTGGACCTTTCACACTGTCTGCTGCAAAGGACTAAGATTTTTTGAAAACTGTTATTTCAATTTTTCTGCCATATGGCTATAATTTTGGGCTATATTATGTTTTGAGGACCTACATGTATGGATCCACTAGAAAAGGACAGAGAGAGAGAGAGACGAGTTGTTTGTACCATTGCTATTGTAAGTAGAGACTTTGGGGTTAAGGTAAAATTTGGTTCTAGGCTGCCGGACTGGTATAAGCACATAGAGTACTGTATATTTTGTATTTTATTCTGAGAATATTGTAAAATGTCCAAATGGATGGAATTAGGAAAAGTTGTGTGATCAACAAAGCCCAATATGCCTTTAGCAAGTTAAATTTGATAAAAATCCTGCACAGATTTGAATTTGCGTGAACATAATTTGAATTCTGCATACTTCAGGCACTGTTGCTATACCTCTTGATATGGGGCAAGCCTTTGCTTAGTTATATGAGAGACACCTTGCCCCAGTATGCAGTTTTCAGTGGATGAGAACGGCACAAAGGAACCAGTCCATTCCAGAGATGGTGGTCGCTATGCATGTGCAAAAGCGTGCTCCAAATCAAGAGGTACAGCAATAGTGTCTTTAGTCTGGGAAATTCAAATTTTCACTAATGTCCTTTAAGACTGCCAAGTCCCTTTAACCTAGCTGTAACCCCTGTAGGTTCACCATGGCACTGAGCTATAGACATGACCAGGAAATGACCTGGATGTTTTTTTATCCACATTGCTACTCAGTGCAATTTTGTGGGCATGGCTGCTCACAGGGTTTTAGCTTAAAGCTGATAAATGGAAAGAAAATATAATTGTTTCATTTTATAAATTTTTGGTATGTATGGTTCAAGCCAAAATATTCATCCATAAAACTAACAGCGCGGAAGTACCAGCAACACTGAGGCATTCTTGTGCAATGCTTCTGTTTTTACAGTGTGCGTTATTATGCATATGCCAGACAGCTTAACCAGTCTTTCTTGTCATAAGTGAAGTCAAGCGGTAGAGGTGAAAGCGTCTGCTTCTCTTCCAAGATGAATCCCTGTCCCATGAAATCACATAATACAACAGAGAAGCACGGCATAAGCTACAGCAAAAGTGAAATGAACCTGCACCAGACTTTATTACGAATGAAGCACTAAGTGTTTCTTCACTTGTCATAATTTCCTATAACTCCTGGCACTCCAAACACACAGGATTAAGAGACGCGGCATGCAGTGCATTGAATAATACAGCATCTTATTTAAATAACGTTGTGCTTTCTTAATGTTACTCATTCAACAGCATCTGTTTCTCCCTG